CTGACAGAAACCGTATTCAAGCTATCTGGGCATGAAAGCACACTTTGGAAGTTACCAAGTAACTGCCAATAAACCTAATATATAGAAAAATACTTAAAAGCACCAGAGTATTTGGTGGATAGAAAACCATAAGCTGACGAAACTGATTTGGCTCAATGGATAGAGCGTCGGCTTGGGGACTGAAGGGTCCCGGGTTCGATTCCGGTCAAGGGCATGTACCTTGGTTGCGGGCATATCCCCAGTAGAGGGTGTGCAAGAGGCAGCTGATCGATGACTCTCTCTCATCGATGTTTCTAACTCTCTCTCTCTCTTCCTCTCTGTACAAAATCAATAAAATATATTTTTTTAAAAAGAAAACCATAAGCTTCAGAGCAAGTTAGAGTTGGACAGTCGAAGAATACAAGAGCCCTCCCATGCATTAGAGGGCTTGGTAGCAGCTTTCAGTGATGGATCCAAAAACTCTCATGTTCCAAAAAAAACTTTACATAAAACAGCATCATTAATACTCTTTTTATAAACTTTCAAAAACAAACAAAATAAAAGTATATCTATAATTGCCCTACAAGAGAAGTGAAACCTAATGCATACAAAACTAGTTGAAACCTCATGGTAAAGAGCAACTGAAACCTAATGCACACAAAGCCAATTTACCAACTGTGACACACTAATGAACAGGTACTCATTTGGAAGTAAAGCACTCGGGAGGGATAGTTAGCTCCAGGTCCCAAAATCGAAAAGTTGGCTGCTGAGCTTGAACAAGACCTGGAAGGGGAAGTGTCCCCTCAGGGTGCTTTGGGGGAGCTGCAGTTAGCTGCAATACAGTAGCATCAACCTCTGAAGTAGGCTGAGCTGGGGTGGAAGTATGACCTCTTCAGTGGACTGTGGGAGGATGAGCTGAGACCTCCTCGATTGCAGATGGTTCAACCTTTTTTTTTTTTTTTTTTGGGGGGGGGGGTTGAAATGAATAGGCAGGCATTGGATGCTGAGCTTCACCTGAACCTAGAGGTGAAACTGTCACCTCAGGATGTACTGAAGGTTGAGCTACAGCATCCATAGAGGATTTTGGAGACTGAGCTCAATCCTCTGCTGCACTGGAGAAGGCTGTACACCAGCAAGAGGCACCTAAGGCAGAGCTGAGCTCTTTGCTGGATTAAGATTGAGGGTAGGGTGGATGCTTATCTGGAAGTCCCTAGTGGATTAACAAAAATTTCACTGGCTCAGAGGATGATGTAGAATAAGTTGAGGCCTCTGGAAGCTGACCTGAAGCCTCCTGAAGGTTTGCAGAAGGTTCCATTTTCTCAGGGGTCTCTGTAGGCAGAGCTGAGGCTTCCTACTGGAATGATGCAAATTCAACCTCTTCACAAGGGTTTTGCTGATCCAAGGGCAGGCTCGGTGGGTCCCCCAGGGATGGAGGTCACCAGAATTGAGTGCAGGGCCAACTCCAGAGGCTGAGCTACCTGGACCTATAGCCACAACAGCTGCTATGTGAACGGGAGCTGTGGGGCCCACAGGTGCAGCCTGGACATGAAGGGCAGAGGTCCCAGCACAGCAAGTGACCCAGGCAAGTGGGGCACAGCGACAATCCAAGCCAGAAGCTGAGTTCTTCTGCTGGATTGAAAATTCAACATATTCAGGGTAGGTTCTGGAGTTTGATGATCTCCATGTTTGAAGATTGAACTGGGACTTCAGTCAAGGTTGGCTGCTGAGCCCGAATAGATTCTGGACATGGAAATGCCACCTCAGGGTGCTTTGGAGGAGCTGCAGTCTGCTGCAGGTCTGTATCAACCTCTGAAGTAGGCTGAGCTGGGATCTCCGGCTGGGGTGGAGGTTTTGATCTTTCAGTGGCCTCTGGAGGATGAGCTGAGACTTCCTTCTCAGCTGCAGGTAGTTCAATGTTCTTAGGGAGCTTTGAAGTTACCAAAACCCCCAGGACAGCATCTTTCACACTGATAGGCAACACTGGATGCTGAACTTCACCCAAATCTAAAGGTGAGACTATCACCTCATGATGTACTGAAGGTTGAACTATGACATCTATCGAGGATTTTGGAGACTGAGCACAACCAACCCTTTAGCTGGACTGGAGACGGTTGTACACCAGCAAGAGGCATGTGAGGCAGAGCTGAGCTTTTTGCTGGATTGAATAATCAACATAAAGGCTCCGTAGCTCACCGTGATCATATAGTGGTTAGTACTCTGCGTTGTGAATATTCAATGTAGGGTGGATGCTTATCTGGAATTCCCTTGTGGACTAACGAAAATGTCAATGGCTCAAAGGACATATAGACTGAGCTAAGGCCTCTCGTTGGAGTGGAAGCTCAGCTGAAGCCTCCTGAAGGTTAGAGGAAAAAAAAAATTCCTGAATCCTAGGCCACACCTGAGATCAAGTAGCTCAAAGCTTCTGGGGACAAGCCCCAGAATGGGGACCGGTTAAGTTCTTTGGTGATTGCAGAGAGGCGAAGGCTGACACTCCTCACTGCAGACCTCTAGAGTCTGCCTCAAACACGGTCTTCTGGGCCCCTGTCCAACTGGGAGGGGATGCAGGACAGCTGTTACTTATTCTAAGGAGAGAGAGACAAGGCTCAGGAGAAAGACGTGGATGCTGCCAGCAGGGCTGGCTGGGACTTGAAGCCAAGTGTATGCAGCCTGGGTCCAGGGCTTTCACCGCTGCCTCTGTAACTATGCCCAGTGCAGAGGGCAGAGGTTGCTTCCAATTCATCTGCCCTAAAACAGCTAACATGGTGCCAGGCATATGCCAGGCTCTGGCAGCTGGATACTGAGGAGATGGGAGGGCTTCCCTGCTGGGCCCAATGTAGGACCAAGGCCGAGAATCTGTACCAGAGGCACAGGGATGAAGTGGGGAGGGCCTGCAGAGGCCCTATGGCCTGGGACTTACCAACTGCACTTAGGGGAAAAGGACCTGCCAGACTCTCCCACCCCATCGCATTTCCCTCTTCTCCCATGTGCCATGTAAAATGAAAGGACACACACACAAAAAAGGAGAAGGAACTTTAGACCTAAAAAGAGCCAAATCAAACCTGCAATTGTTTCCTCTTCCAACACCAGGCTTGACACAGGGTTGTGGGAAGACCGAGTAGAGTTATGTCGCTCTCTGGTGGCAGGACCCGAGAATTGCTTCCATTTTCCATTCCCAGAAATTCCTGGCCAAACAGCCTCTTCCCTTTCAATTAGGAAAATGTTTTAGGACAGAGAATCTGTCATATAAGGTGCAATAAAGGCCTTATAGCCCTTTACCCAATCCTGGCAGGCTGCTTTGTTTCCCCATCTCATACGGAACACAGGAGTCAGGTCAGTGCAGGGATCGTGAGCTTGGGCTATGAAACCGGACAGAAGAGAGGCCAGCTCCCCCAGGACTCCTCGCCGGGGCCTTGGGAAAGTCACTGAAGCCCAGCCTCCTCACATGCACAACGGGGACAACACAGGACCTAACTCAGAGGGTTCGTGAAGGTTAGACGGGCAACCCAGGAAAATAACCACGACTGATTCCAGTAAGGGCTCCAGGCAAGCTAGCAGCATTAAAGGCTGGGTTCCCCCTGAGCAAATAACACATCCCCATCCTCACCCCCACCCCCATTTAGACACTAACAAATCATGTTTCTCTCTTTACTTCGGCTTTGGGAGCTCACAGGCAAACTAGGGGTTCCCAGAGCTATTCAGTAGGGCTTCATGATTTAAACTGAGCCTTTTCCTTGGTATTGATATTCTACTCTGATTTGTTCTGGATCATTTCTTTTTACTTCACTGTTTTAGATATTTCCTATAATTCTCCTTAAATCTTTTCTGAGATAGGATGTAAACAAATAAGACTTACTGGGAAATTTATAAATTGTCTTCACTCATATATGATGAACTAGTTCAGCATACATTTGCAAATGCTATAATCTTTGATTAACACAAATATTCTAATTCAGAAGGTTTGAGGTAGACCCCCAAGAATCATAATTAAAAGTTTCCCCGCTGCTTCTGAAGCAGCCAGGGCAGTCCCTAGCCATGGAGCAATGTCTGAGAATGTCTGGCCTGAAAAATTAAACAGGGGATCATTAGCATGGCTTTGAACCAGTCCACCTATGAACCAGGAGGTCAGGGTTCAATTCCCATCAGGGCATGTGCCTGGTTTGCAGGTTTGATCCCCAGTTGCGTGTGTGCAGGACACAGCCAATCAATGCTTCTCTCTCATCATTAATGTATCTCTCTTTCTCTCTCTCCCCCTCTTCCTTCTCTCTGAAATCAATAAAAATAAAAAGATCATTAGTTACAATGAATGTCAAGTTTCTTTACAAAATGTAACATTTTGAATAAAACAAATCTCAATTTTATTTAACCGATATGTTTAAAAAACAATGGGTTTAAATCCAAATTTGCAAATAAAACCCATTTAAATTCATTAGGGCAGAGGACTTAGGAAAAATCTCAGTAATGAAACCTATAAAAATCAAGACTCTCCTATTTATTTGGTCTTCAAATTTGGCTTTTCTTAAGGTGGTCACTCAAGTAAATTCCACAGAAAGAAGATATTCCCAAGTTCCCTGACACCCCACTTGTCTTAAACCACAACAAGCAAACCTTTTACCAAAAGCCTGGACAAGGTCACCGATTGTCAACTGGAGATTCTCGCACAAGCTCAACCTGGTAATTCACCCTGACTCCACTAGGTGGTGCTCATGTCCTGGTCTCGGACTCTTCGCTACATGGGATTGTGGAGACAAGCATTCAGTTAGGCGTTTCTCACAGACACACTGTGACTCAGTTCCCTAGCCAGGATGGAAGACCCACAAAATGCTTCCACAGTTTTTATTACAAAGTTGGGAGAATGGCTCTGAAGGTGGGGAAGGCCCTACTGCTGGTTCATCAAGGCTAACGATCATTATAAAGGCAAGTGTGGAAACACCGTGGTGCACACTGCAAACAGATGTCACGTCAGCCAATAGAGGGGGGTGGGCAGGCGAGTTTTACTCTCCCAGAGTTCAAGTCCAAATAGATTAGCTGCTCCTTTTGCACCTTCTTCCAAAGTGCACTGTCTGGCAAGATCTTCCAGTCTTCCAGGTCTGTGCAGTTTAAAAACCCATTTTTATGGAATGCTAAGGCCTATGCTGGGTCCTGAGGATGGCAGAGGTGCTGGATGTGAGGGAAATTTCAAACTGTACCTCCCTAAAATTAGATCTAGGACTGAAGATGCCTCAACCACTCTCTCCATCCTCCAGGCCATCATTTTCATTGTCAGGGCCTTCAATTCTTTTATGAAGGAGTCATGGATTCCCCCTTTCTTGAAAACCCATGGGCCAGAGCAATGGAGATTCCACCAAAAGTGTGAAATCAGAAACATTTACCAAAAGGGGATCTATGCCACAGATGTTGCTTAAAACATCAATACTGCTGCAGAAACTGGTGGGAGGTGAAAAGGGAAGTTGAATGGAGCACACACAGAAAAGGGAAAGAAACAGAAGACAGTCTAAGTAATAAGAAATAAAGACAGTAGATGGGGCAACACAATCAAAGGTGGCAGTAATATGGACCAGGTTTCCGGTCTGGGAATTCTGAGTGCTAGCTTGTCTTGCCATAAAGTTACTGAGCATGGGGCTGGGAGGGCCTGTGATCGATTAAAAAAAAAAAAAAAAAAAAAATGCTAACCAGGTCTTTCTGGTACCTTCAGCAATTAATCAAAAACAGACAGACTGCTTTTACAATAAATTCCACGATATACCTTTCTTAATCCAGGGTTTGTCAGAAAAGGGAAAAGGGTCTGGTCTCACAAGGACACCAGAGACAGTTTTAGGCTGGCACCTGCCCACACTGGCTGGGCAGTGGGGGGAGGGGGCGCTTGGCTGGCAGCTGCTAATATATTTCCAGGGACGAAAAGAGATCCAAAGAGTTACAGATGTTAAAACTAGAGATGAGACTGTAATGGACAAATCACTAACCTTTGCTCATAGCTGTTTTCTAAGGGGCCAAAGCCCAACGAAACCTGGGCATGGGTGCCAGGCTGCAGTCTTGGAACCTTAAAAGCCAACCATTCCAGGAACGAGGGTCTTTAGTCTTAAGACTGCACGTGCCCAGAGAATGACAGTGGCCTCAGTTTAGAAAGGAGGAACACCCAACAGCTATAATGTAGAAAATCTTACTCATCAGCAACAGCACCGATGCCCATTTCCTCCAGGGAGCTGCTTCTGGGCAAGGGTGACAGTATGAGCTGTCAGTCATCTGCATGTCATTATGGGGGTGGGGTGGCTAGTTGCATGTGAATCCATTTACTATAATGAATGCAGGAAAAGAAGACCTCTTTCCTCTTCTTCTCTCCGCTTCTGCTCCATCCTGTCCATTCGGAGCTGGAAAAGCTGGATGACAAAAATGTGGACAGTCCTGCGCAGAAGGGTCACCGTGAAAGCCTTCCGGGGGTGTGCATCCTATACGTGGACAAACCCACCAAAGCCATTCTTTTCCTTTCCTTACTTCATTGCCTACCATCACATCACTTCCACCCCCCAGCGAGAGTGAGAATGACAAAAAGAGAAGAGGTACTCCGTTCATTTTCTATGCACCGTGAATCTTGGTAGCACTCGCATCCTCTCCAAGATGTCACAAACAGAGCAGGTTTGAAACGCCCACTGGGTTACAAGATCACAATGACTTCTGAGTGGTTTTTCACAGTTAAGACGGACATACATTTCAAAACATGGCCTCCGGGCCCCCTTCTCTCTCTCACGCACACATACACAGTCACACACGCTCATGCAGCAGGAACGGTGTCCAGCTGCTGGGCTTGGCTGGCTCATGTCAGGTACTGCACCACCAAGAACATGACCACACAGGTGAGCAGCATCCCACCGATCATAAAGTACTTGTCCTGGAAAGCCCGTTTCTCGATGAGCCGCATCACCGTGTTGGACAAGCCCAGCATGTTGGCAATGTCAAGGATCCTCTTCTGAGTCCCCTGGGGGAGAAAAGAGAAAGAAGAGCAGGGTGGGTGAACATTAACATGAGGTGGGGATTTACCAACAATAGTCTCTTAGTCAAGTCTAAAGCATACACAAAGCAGCATCAACCAGAAATAGATCACTCACATGCGGTCAAATGACTTTTGATCAAGATACCAGAGCAACACAAGGGGGAAAGAGAAGTCTTTTCCACCAATGTGCTGGAGCAACTGGTTATATAGTAAATATCACATGTATGTATCACATACACACATATACGTCTTGTATAAATTATATATAGGTATCTATGTATTATATATGCATATATATTTGTGTAAAAAAAATGATCCTTTACCTGGGGTGGGAGCAAGATAAAAGGGATCAATGGGGGGGAGGGAGACATATGTAATATTTTCAATAAAGATTTAAATTTTAAAAAAAGATCCTTGATTCATAGTATATATAAAACTTAATTTGGATCATAGAATTAAACATAAAAGCTACAACTGTAACAAAGCTTCTAGAAGAAAACACAGGAGAATATCTTAAAACTGGAAAGAATGCAGATGTCTAACACCAGAGGATGGATGGATTAACAATTTATGATACATGTGACAATGGGATACTGCTTGGCAATAAAAAGGACCTATTTACCAACATGTAATGGTATGAAAGAGCCTGGAAAACACTGAGAAGAAGCCACACACAAAACAGTAACATTAATAGCAGGCAAAATTAATTGGTGGTGAAATAAATCAGAACTGTGGTTGCCTGTGGAAAGGAGCAGACTGACTTGGAAAGACTGTTTCTCACAGATCAGCGATCTTTTAGGGGCGATGAAAACAGCCTATGTCTTGATACAGTGTGAATTACAAAAATGCAAGCACTTGTCAAAATTCAATGACCTATACAAATAAGATCTGTATACCTCCTTGCATGTACATGATACCTCAATAAAATTTTTAAAATTAGAATATTTTATATTAAAACAGTCTCCGCTCTCTATCTCCAAAATCCTATCAGGATGTTGCTGAGTACATCACGTGGGCTAGTGCCCAGGTTTACGAGAAGGTTTGAAGTGGGCAAGATGGAATGACAGAAACACAACTGACAGACACCAACACAATGATCTTATAGAAATGTCACCACCCACAACCATAACAAAAGGGTGTTTTATTCCTAAACCAAGAGACCAAACCACCTAACCTGCTCTTTCTCTCTGCTTTCTAATTTTCATTTTTAATCACATTCAAATTCTTATGAAATAGAGATGAATGCGGGGGAGACCCCAAGTTACTTCTACACACATCACCAACTGCATCTGTATAAATGGCATCTAACCTAATGCTCCACACCCATTTTTTATTTTTTATTTATTTATTTATTTATTTATTTATTTATTTATTTTTAAAATATATTTCTTATTGATTTTTTACAGAGAGGAAAGGAGAGAGATAGAGAGCTAGAAACGTCGATGAGAGAGAAACATCGACCAGCCGCCTCCTGCACACCCCCTACCAGGGATGTGCCCGCAACCAATGTACATGCCCTTGACCGGAATCAAACCCGGGACCTTTCAGTCCGCAGACCGACACTCTACCACTGAGCCAAACCGGCTTCGGCCCACACCAATTTTTTAAGTGAACAACACAGTAACAAGCAAATGAGAATAAGCAAGAGAAGCGAGAATGACACAAGGCACTACCGACAGGAATTCAGACCCCACGTGCTGCCCAGACCATGATCTCAAAGCCTCACCGAGAGATTTCACAAGTCAAGCTTGATTACTGCCAGAGGAGAGCAGAGACATGCTTTCTATACGGTGATGGTGAATATTGGACTCTCACTAAGATTCTGCTCAACTCTGAAAATGCATATTATTTCCTCACCATGTGAAGTTCAAGCATCAAGTTTCTAAAATCACTAAAAATCACCATAACTTTTCCCCAAAATAAACATTTTCAACTAGGACAAGCCCCAAATCATGGCCCAGCTCCTTGATGTTCTCCCCCATGTTAATTTCAAACGGTTAAAGCCCAAAACTTCTCTTGTGGAGGTGGGGTGGGAGGCGGCGGAGGGAAGAAGGCAGGTAGTGGTGTGTGCAGAGGACCAGGATCAGCATCTTCCTCCCAGCCTCTGAGCACCTCACAGGCTCCCTAGCACTTCACTTCCGGGGACCGTGCAGGGGCAGGAGTTGCTTGCACTACTCAGTGATGCCAGACTGCAGTAGGAAGCCAACATCAGCCCTAACAATAAGCTCTAACCCCCACTGCTCAACGTTAGCGTGACATGGTGAGCCGTCCTAAAAGGGTTTTACTGTTCTCTGAGATACGGGAAGGAGGCCAGTGTTTTCTACAGAAAGGGCGGGTTAACCAACGGGTATCAGCTTAGATTACTGCAAGTGGCTGTTCTGAAAGGAGGGCACCGTGAAGCTGTCAGAGGCCACACTTCAGACCATCAGCAGCAGGTTACATGTCGTCCGTGGCTGGCCTGACCTTCCCCCGGGTAAAGGTGGCAGAAATGTACTGAAGGCCCGTGGAGCTGACTGCCTCAACATGGTCCAAGAAAAACTGAGATAAAGCTCACGCTTCCGAGGGACTGTTTCTCACAGCTCAGTGGCTGGGAGTGCTTCGTTCACAGGGAACCACACCCTGATAATGAGGCACAGTCCACACCCCATTATCCACCAGAGTTGGTACAGGAAAAGGGCTGAGGCTGGCATCAGAGTCTGTGTAATGTTTCTGTAAACTACTCCCAGGGGGTTGGCATCTCAGCCAATGGCGCAGGGCTCCCAGCAATACCTGGGGCTTAAGAGTCGGGGAGGAGTTACCGGGGATCACCATCATGGACTCTAGAAGCTATCTCCTGCTACACAACCAGGGCAGCCCTGAGACCCCACCCCTGGGGCTTCAGTTACGACAGCACAAAAGGTCTCAGTTCTACAGCACACAGCAGAGGCCTTACGAGAGAACACCTGACTGTGAGATGCCACATCTTCTTTCTTATGAGAGTGGATTAAATAACAGAATTTCTTAGTCTATTATTGGTTCCTCTCAGAGCAGCAGTCACCTTCAGAAAGTGGGACAAGACCTGGGGTACCACAAAAGAGGCCACATTACGATTCATTACAAGCACAAGAAACACCTACTAGCAAAGGCCATTGGGCTACTTTCAGACTCATAATAACTTGACATCAAAGGAAGGATCCGTCTCACCATCACAGCATCACAATTTGGGAACAGGTAACCAAAATGCAAATGCAGGGACCAAGCTGTTGGATTAGGCCAAGACAAGAGGCCTTCTCCCTGTCCCCCGGAAGGGCCCCCACCTTCAAGGTCATTCTCTGGGCCCTCAGTCCCTCCAGAATACTGTGCCCGCCTCCAATGAGGTCATCCATGCCGTGGTGAATGTTCTGGAGGGAGGAGTTAAACTGCAGGGATTCATCCATTGGTATGGTGGTGTCAGAGTCCTGTGGAAGAAACGCAGGCACTTGATTAACTGCTTGCTGGTCAGCCTCTGCGGGCCCACCACGTCTGACAGCTCTGCCTGTTGGCCAAGGCCAAGCCAGAAGAATTGACAGAGGGAAAGGTGCAAGAATCAGAGGAGCCTAATAGAGGAAAAAAAAAAAAAAAAAAAGCAAAGCGAAGATCTGGAATGGCCTCTGTCACTTTCCTCAGACTTCCATTATACAAGTCTTATTAATTCCTGCCTCTTATCATGACTCCCACCGGGGAAAATCGATTCCTTCAAGACCCTATGGGCTTCTCTCAAAGTCTTTCTCTGACTGCTCACTAACCTAGCTTGTTCCAAATGTTCCTTTTCTTGGTTTCCCCTTAATTCCACATTAAATGTTTGCTTTTGTTCTTTAGCTATTTTATCCACTTAGACTGACACTGACTAAGGACAGAAGAGAGAGTGCTTTCCTACTGACGCCCAAATAATGTTCAGATGGGACTGGTCTCCTGAGCAGGCAAGAAAAATCTGCACAAAAAGGAAGGGAAACAAAAACTAATACTGACCAAGTACTTTTCACTTTGCATGCTCATTACCCTAAGCTCACTTACTCCTCATCCTAACCTGATGAGGTAGTTAACGTATTATCCCCATTTAGAGATGAGGAAACTGAAGCCCAGATAGTTGGAATACCTTGTTCAAGTTCTCCCTGAGCTGTAAGAAATCCAGGAAGGCATGAATCCCAGTTCTGAGTGCAGAGTCTGCTCTCTTAACCATCTGTCTGGAGGAAGATCAGGACCAATCCTAGGCTCTAAACTGACGTTGAAAGTGCACTGCACACAGAACAATTCATGACCAGCTGTATCACTGTTCTCTCTCCTGCCTCATGATGACCACAAACTCTTCTGTCAACCAGAGCCATTCGTATCACATGTCCTGAGTCACCCTAGGACATGTTCATTGACTTTTAGAAAAAGAGAGAGGGAGAGGAAGGCAGATAGAAAGAAAGAGAGAAAGAGGAAGAAAGAGAGAGAGAAAAAAAAACAACAACAACAACAACACATCAATCCATCTCCTGCATGCACCCTGCCAAGGCCAGGGATCAAACCTGCAACCTAGGTATGTGCCCTGACCAGGAATCGAACTCTCGACCTTTTGGTGCTCAGGACAACGTTCTAACTAACTGAGCCTACCAGCCAGGGCCACTTTTTTTTTTTCTTTTCTTTTTTTTTTTTTTTTTTTTTTACCATTTTTAACCACTACAAAGAGATCAAACCATCTTTTCTTTGATGTTCAAGTTGAAAATTAATTAACGCACACATGTTCAGTCTCCCTTGATGACACAGGAGTTTTTCACACCCTCTATTCTCAGCACCTTAAATAGTGTTCTACATACAGCTAATGCTCAGTGGGTCAGAAGACTGCAGTGTTTGAATTAATTAAATACTTCATTTAGTTGGCAAGCATTTATTGAATGCCTTTTATATACAAATCTTCCTTACCCTTCCACCTGAAAGGGTAGAGCTGATGAGCCACTCTCTCAGAAAAATGTTTGATAGTTCCAGATCATAGAATAAATAGAAAGAAGTTCATTCAGTAAGTCCTCAGCCTAAGAAATGCCTAAGTAACAATGAAAAGCCCACATAACATCTTCCACAGCGTCATAGAGTTCATTACATTATTGGAAATTGGCCATGCTTACCACTATACCACCAACACGTCTCCATCACACTTTGGAATTGTTAGTTATTATTACTTGACTGCTCACTCTAGAGACACAGAAACTACAGAGATACATTCTGAAACACTTGGGGAAATTTACTGCAAGTGTGGACACAGCAAAGAGAGTTAAACATCTGCAAATTGGGAACTGATGTGTTCTGATATCAGGCTTAGAGATCTAAGACCTCTTTAGAAAACAAACATCTCCATAAACACACACACACACACACACACACACACCCAAAAACCCACCTCATTTGGCGGAATATAATATGCAGAACACAAAAAGTCGTATGTCCTATATCATGTGCAGAAAATGATCCTATAGAAATCAAAGGGCAGGGACAATGGTGTTCTACAAAATCAAACGAGAAAGCCAACAGGCCACTTTCAAACAGGCTCAAAACAAGTAATCCATCTAAAACAAAAAAGTCTGTTAACAAATTCCTCCAAAATTGCGCTCAGCTTAGGGACAAAAACATTGTAATGCATCTGACACTGGAACCACACACATACTCAGCACAAAGGCAACTGCCCTAAGGCAGCTTTGAAATGCTGCCCTCCCTAAAAATGGCCTAAGTTCTAATCATCTGTCTCTATCTGATCAGAAAAAAACGTTTCTACCATGTCAACCACGACCTCTCTGCATCGGCCCAGTCAAACCAGGCAATTTTCACCCGCTCATTCCCTCAAGTTAACTGCTTCCTCTTCAGGTTTCTGTGTTAGAAAAAGAGATTCCCTGTTTAGTTACGGTCTCTGTGGCAAGGCACAGGATCCACTGTCATTTCCAGTTGGTCTCCTCATCAGTCTGCTTCAGCCTCCACCTAAAAGGATGATGCTCAGACCCTGAGCTCCAGCTTCAACGAGCTGTTGAGTACCTGCAGACTCCCACCCTGGTGCCTGGCTTACGTTGGGGGTGAAGGTGCGAGATAAAAGCTCCTCTCGCTGTCTCTCTTGCTGCTCCCTTGCGTATCGCCGATGCTGGAAGTTTCTGAGAGCAGTCTGCAGGTGCTGGACATCATACTTTAACTGGTCAACACGACTGGAATTGAGAAAGAGAGATAGATATTACATCCCAGGAACCCAGAGTGGCACAATTTGAGATCACCAGGCTTTGTATTCAGGAAAGAAGACTTTCCTTACTTCTTCCTATGCCACTCCATGCCACGCTCCCACCCCAAATAATCTGATTTTGATCAATTATGTTGAAGAAGAAGAAGTAGCTTGTGGTTAAAGTAGGGTTGTAGCACACGAGATTCCAGCAGCTTTACTTAAATACCTGCTGGTCTCTGATTCTGAATGCACGACAGAGAACAGGTGACAGGAAGCAGGCTCAGTGCCCTCTTCCTGACCTTCTATGGGTTATATCACTCTCCTGGGAGAAGCCCAAGGGCATCGTTGGTGTAAAGCATCCGCAAAGTTCCATAAAACTTTTGGGAGCAGGGGCTGGGGTGCAAGCGGTGAGGGTGGTTTCCTTTTAATTTCATGGCGGGACTATCAAACGTTAGATCGGTATTTCATTATAATTAGACTGATTGAAGTGATTAAGGGCAAGATTCATTTCAACCTAAGAATGTAGTGGGAGCCAAAGGGTAGAGTAAACTCACTTAGGCTTCAAGCGGCCATGGGTTTGGACAGAAAAACAGTTCTGGAGGCAAATTTTCAAAATGACACCAATGAGGTAAGGAGACACAAAACTTCTGAGCCACTAAATCACGGGATTTTTATTTTGAGAGAATAAAATTGCTCCCTTTACAGGGACTTTATCTTCGCACAGTCTCAGTTTTTCAACGTGTAAATGAATTTTCAGAGCATTCAATAGCCCCCTGTGGAGAAAGACCTGTCATAAGGACTTGGGTTGTTAGAGCACTCACAGTTTGGCATTCTGTCTTTTATTGGGGGGCTCCTTGCTGGACAAAATCTCCAGGCGTTCTAGCTGGCTGAATATCTGGTCTATGTTCGCTTGGATTTCGTTTTCTACTACTGCACAAAAGAGAAAAAAGAATAATTGCTGGAAAAGAGATAGTGAACTTAAATTAGAATGGTAAATCAAACATACCTTTTCCCACACCCAATAGACTCAAAATATGTATTTCAAAAGGAGAAAAATGCATATGCTATTGAATAACAGAAAAAGTTCAAGTTATACTAAGTGACTCTGTAAATGCTGTTTCAAATATGTATATATAGCTGTAAATGATATAACAATGCCAATTTTTAAGAGGGTAAATCTGTAGAAATAAATTTCCTGCTGTTAGAAAATAAAATGAACATGTAAATGTTATCCAAAAAGTTTTTAAGCAAGTCAGTATTTTCTGATACAGCATGAGGTCTCTTTTCCTTTGAGATTATTCTCAGATATAGATTATAAATGTCTAGAAAAAAGACTGCCCATTGAATTCCCTATAGTAATAAGGTTAAAAAAAACACAACAACACACACACACACACACACAGGAGAAGATTAGTAATCGAAACAGAGAGAGTTCCCTTAAGGCTTTCCATAAGAATGGGTGGGCTGAGGTTGGAATCCCCAAAATAGACTAAGTGTCAGTAGGAAAGGCCCAGGAAAGAATCCATGGCAGTACAGATATGATACACACAGCCGTTTTCCTTATCCCTTGTGATAAACCGTCAAAATGACCTCTTTCCATTTCTAATCATGTAACAATGAGATTATTGGGAAGGCAAACAAAGTCAATGGACAGAAACTAAACTGTGCACAAAAGCAGATTGCTTTTTGCCCCATAAATAAGTGACAGCAACGTCACCTTTATATGTTAGCTAACAAATACAGATTGGAACTAAGTGGAGCATGGAACCAAGAGAAGAGATGCTCTGAAGCGGTGGAAAGGAGAGAGAAACGGGCATGGTGACAGCCACGCAGCGAGGTGGGAAGGCAGCTTCTGCAGTGTGAGGGAAGCCAGCAGTGTCTGCATGACCGACTCAGAAAAAGGACCTTTGCTAATGATAGAAAAGACACTAAAAACCATAAAGCAGCCCTCTACTCCAAAGAAATCATGGTGTGGGAACTAAATTAATTAATATTGCTATCCATTTCCGAATAGGCCTTCTAAAAAGCCACAGTTCTCAGAAGAAATGACGAATGCCAGTTAAACATGTCCGACTTTTTACAGAGCACATTCCTCTCAGGGCTAGGTAACGAGATGAAGACAGATGGAGGAAAGAACTTCCACTCCCACAGGGCCATGTCAGGTTGAGTGGAGGGGTAATGGGGGATGCGACTTGGGGGATTCCAAAGGGCACAATCAGGGAAATCAGTGACTGTGCCACAGGGTTTTCTGCACCTTAACAACAGAACTCATTCCACGCTGAATCATTAGGCCCCTGAGGCAGAAAGGCAGTCAGGAAACCCAGCCCATTAGCACCGTGTCATCAGAGAAAGGACTCTGGTCTCCATAGCTAATTACTCACAGTGCACAGACTGCTTGTCTGCTGTCTCCAGGCGTCCCATGTGAGACTGGATCTGGTGGACCTGCCTATCAAAGGAAAAGGGAGGAAATGGGTGAGACAGGAGTAATCAACAGCACTTCAGTCAGGAAAGTCAATTTTTCTGATGCCAACATGTAACTGATTTAAATTGACAGCATCACTGAACTGTAAAATTTGTATGTGGCACTTGAGGCCACATGTTTTGGCATGGTTTAGAATATCTTAACATTAATAATAGTAATAATAATAAAATAATAATACTGGCAGGCAGCGTTTACTGAGTGCTTCCCCCATCGGAGACATTCTGCAAAGTCAATACCCTACGAGGAAAGTATTATTATTATTATTTTATAAACAAGACAACTGAAGTCCAGAAAGGTTATGTAACTTGTTCAAGGTCATATAACAAGTGATAAACCTCGATCTGGACCCAGCCAATCCCACTCTCTGTTGTTTGACCCAATGTGCTGAGCACTGGTCTGTGTACAGGGCAGAGTCAAAGGGTGAGAGAGATAATCCTTGTTCTTGAGAAACAGTGTAATTAGGAATGACAGGCTAGATAGGAAGAAAAGTCCCAAGAAGATTTAAGAGAAAACTAACACATGTAAGTGTAAACAAACAGAAAGCTAAGCACAGTGGTGCCACGCAAAGGCAAGTGAATGAAAGGGCCAGGCCTGAGACAGAGTACGCTGGAGTTTTGTGGGTGAAGAAAGTACTGAATATCATTTTGAAGGGAGATGTGATTTGGTGAAGAAAGATATAAAGAAAATGATATGCAAAAAGGCATGCAAACCATGTCATGGGGATTAAAAGGAGGCCAGCCTGTCCAGAAGAGTCAGGGTCAGAGGGGAAGGGTGGATGAGGTGATTAGCTGGACCATCAGAGGAAGGCCCTCAATGAAAGGATCTCCTACTTGGTAAACATCTTTCCCAGGCAATATGAGGCCACTGCCATCTCATCTGAAAATGACACTACACCTTGGACCTCTGGCATGGTCCCAGACATAACGCTCCAGAGCACCCTGAAAGCTCCCCAAAGCTTGGCCAAGGTCACCCTCAGAACCTTTCCTAGCCAAAGCCGGTTTGGCTCAGTGGTAGAGCGTCGGTCTGCGGATTGAAAGGTCCCAGGTTCGATTCCAGTCAAAGGCATGTACCTTGGTTGCGGGCACATCCCCGGTAGGGGGTGTGCAGGAGGCAGCTGGTCGATGTTTCTCTCTCATCGACATTTCTAGCTCTCTCTCTCTCTTCCTTCCTCTCTGTAAAAAATCAATAAAATATATTTAAAAAAAAAAAAAGAAAAAGAAAAGAACCTTTCCTAGTGGTCCCTGGGATTAGTCCTCGGAATTGCTTATGCTCCCCCCAACAACCATCTCTTGGTGCTTAGAGTCTCCCCATTTAGAGCCATGAGAAAGGGACCTGCTGAGCTCTTATATCATCCCCAACTCGAGGGAAAGGTCACCAACCATCTTCCATCATAAGTACCACAAACTGTGACTGCAAATGTATCAATGTGGGCCAGGAGCCCAAATTTGGTTTCTCTAGTCTTTTTCTGGGCTTTCCTGTGGCCTCTAAGCATGACCCATGGCCCCAGAAGCAAGGACAGCCTTTTAATGACTCCCAGAGTGATCCTGGGCAAAACTCATGCCCCTAGAAACCACTAACAGAATCTGAGAGACCAGACTGCTACTTCAGCAGGTAAGTCCAGAACGGGGCACATGGAGACGTGGAGGCAAAGGCAGAACACAGCTCGAGGTAATGAACATCCAGAACAGGGCAACTGTGAAAACAGCTATCAAGGACTGGACGGTAATACCGATCAAAGGGAGAATTAGAACTTTACTGAAGTCCTGAATGTATGCAGTGAGGTAAATTTCCAATGGCAGCTTAACAGAGTAAATCTGAAAATTGGTGGCATTACTGACAGGAACAGAAATAAAATGAAAAAATGGAGTGGGGAGAAAAATAGCCAAGACACTCTGAATAGGTATGAAAGAAATGATCTATCCCATCTACTATTAAGACTTATTACAAAGACATACTAATGAAAACAATATGGTAACATGCAGGGAGAGAGAGACAAACCCCAACTCTGATGCAAGAGGAAAGAATAAAGGCCAGAAACAGTCCTACATATTTGGGGACTTGGTGACATACCAGTTGATTGGTGGGAAAACCATGAACTAAAAAAAATTTTTTTTTTTTACAACGAAGGCACCATAAAATATAAAAAGACAAGCAGAGACTGGAAGATATCTTCACAGATAACCAAGAACTAATGTTGGGAATATCTAACAAACAGCTACAAATCAATAGGAAAAGTCAAACAAAGCAATTTTTAAAAAAATGAGCAAAGAGATTATTGGGAAGGTAATTTCAGGTGTTGAATCAACTGACAAAAAAAAACTAAATACTCAATAAATATATGAAGAGATCTTCAACTTTATTAGTAATCAGGAAAGTGCAAATTAAAAATAAGGAGATATGCATGCGTGGCTGGCTCAGGAGTTGAATGTTGACCCATGAGCCAGGAGGTCACGGTTCGATTCCCATTTGGAAAACCAGGTTGCAGGCTCTATCCCCAGTGGGAGGCATGCAGGAGGGAGCCGATCAATGATTCTCTCTCAACACTGATGTTTCTATCACTCTCTCCCTCTTCCGTCCTCTCTTAAATCAATAAAAATATTTAAAAAATAAAAATAAAAATAAGGAGATATCACATTTCTTCTATCTGAGTGGCAAATATTTTAAAGTCTGATAACACACATTGATATAAGGATGTGGGGAAACTAGAACTCTCATACATGGCTGACAGGATTATAAACTGGTAGAAACCCTTTTAGTAGGTTTTTTTCCCCCCAATATATTTTATTGGTTTTTTTACAGAGAGGAAGAGGAAGGGATAGAGTTAGAAACATCGATGAGAGAGAAACATCGGATCAGCTGCCTCTTGCACAGCCCCTACTGGGGATGTTCCCGCAACCAAGGGACATGCCCTTGACCAGAATCGAACCTGGGACTTTTCAGTCCGCAGGCCGACGCTCTATCCACTGAGCTAAACTGGTTTCGGCTTTAGGAGGTTTTTGATAAAAACTGGTAGAGTGAGCCCTAACCGATTTGGCTCAGTGGATAGAGCATCAGCCTACGGACGGAAGGGTCCCAAGTTCTATTCAAGGGCATGTACCTTGGTTGAGGGCACATCCCCAGTAGGGGTTGTGCAGGAGGCAGCTAAGGGATGTTTCTAACTCTATCCCACCCCCTTCTTCTCTGTAAAAAATCAATAAAGTATATTTAAAAAATAAAGACATATTTCTAAAAACAAACAAAAAACCCCACACACACACCAAAAAATAAACAAACAAAGAACTGGTAGATTGAAATATGTGTGTATCCAATGAGCCAGCATTCCACTTCTAGGACTAGGTCCCTTAAAGGAAGAGAATGTGTGGGATTCAGTTCTACTGTCTTTAAATACGTGCAGCATATGTATTAAATATGAAGCCTAACACATGTTATATTATTCTCTATTTTTATGTTTGAAATATTTCATACATAAAATAACTAATTTTTTTTTCCTGATGAGATTATTGGGAAGGTAATTTCAGGTGTTGAATCAATGATTTAACAAAGATCAGTTATTTACTCACTCAACAAATAAGTGGGATAGACAATCACAATGGTCCATGGGAAATAAAACCACAGGTGTGCCTACAGTGGAAAGGAGTAATATGCTGAGGATACCACAGTAAGTTTATGTTTTTTTCAAGAGATATTTGATAGCCTCTCAAGATGTCTTGTAGTAAATTTGGTTTAATGATAATACAGGTTGAGGGATTGATTTCCAGTGTTCTACCATAGCACTGCCTTTGGTTCTATATAGTTAAATATTGAAAAAAAAAAATCAACTTATGTTTATAAAACCTGCACATGATTTGTGATAGAATGAGGGGTTAAGACGTGACAAAATAAACATTAACATTTTCCATTTATGATAAAATGGGGATTAAAAAGTATCCTGTCTTCAGATGAAAAGAAAAGGCAAATGCACACTATAAAGTGGCATTCTATTCTGGGAGCCAACTGTTAAAGAAACCCTATCAATTAAAGGTTTACCCCAATGGGAGATGAACAGGATGACTAAGGGAATGTTTAGGAATCAAGCCATGAAGACAAACTGTCAAAAGGGTCATCCTGACCGGAGTGAAATGAAATGGAAGATCTTGCCAGTCACTTTCAACTCTTAAATTCTATGAGGACAGCAGGAGAGAGATGAGGCCAATACCCACAAAACATCTTCAGCTGGGTTTTACTATTTCCCAAGCTAAAAAGGATCAACTTTAATAAGTTGCCGGGAAACATTACTGACTTTTCCCATCCAATCTCTTCTTGCTTCGAATGAACTAGAAAAAAATATGGCCAATAAAGTGATTCCAATCTCTACATTTCATGCCTGAGAGGGAATATATGCAAAACAACAAAGCAAGTATGCATGGCGGGGTGGGAACTACTATGTGCCAAGTGGAAAATCTGTTTTAAACTGAACTGGGAATTCGGACAACACACTTGAAGCCAGCAAGAAACAGATACACTATTAAGACCTGGGAGTGTGGACATTAGAAATCAGAAGTCCTAGATGAGTCTAGCATGGAGTCCGTGGTGGGCTTGGGTGGTAACATAACTAAGCAGAGACCTAGGAGCACACAGGCAAGGGTCACTGTTGCTAATATTTTTTAAAGGGTCAGTAGAAAATCTGGGAAGCACTTTAAAACAGAATTGCTTGTTAAAAGTCCATCTATGCTGCCTCTGTCATATGGAAAGATCTGGATTGAAGTTCTAGTTTCACTATGTGCTAGCTAAGGTACACTGAACAAGTAATTTAACCCCTTGATGCCTCCGCTCCCTCAACTGTTAAAATAGAGATACTAATAATAATTATTTAAAGGGTGGTAGATCCAAATGCAATATGAAAATGCTCTGTACCCCATATAGCATCATACAAGTTTGTTGTGTTAACCTTACTTATAAGTAGTAAAACCATCTGGTCATTTTCACTTCACCCACTTTGCCTCTACTATACAGTATTTAGAAGGCAAAATTAAAGACGGAAAAACTGGTCTTGACATAAGGTAAAGTTCTTAAGCGCAACTGCTCATAAAAATCATCTGGAGAGCTTGTTAAAAACAAAACAAGAAAACAGCTTCTTGTACTCCAGACCAACTGAATCAGAATCTCTAGGACTACAAGTGGGGTACCTTTACAACATTGGGGTCTCAAAAACAGAAGCCTGCCTACTAGCTCCTCTTTAAAGTTCATTCTAATGCATTAAGTATAAAATGTTTATTCCACTTTTCATTTTTTCCCTCCATTCGCTGTTCAGGCAGTTCAGGAGTTTGTAAGATATGTTAACTTCAAAATGTTTATCTAATTCCAATGTTCTGTACATTGGAATTAGATAAACATTTTAAAGCTATGTATCATGTGAGAGATAATCACAAACTGGGTTCAAATTTCAAGTAAAATTAATACGTTCAGTTAATGTTGTGTCAATTCAGCTACAATCATTAATTTCTGACAATCCCAGGACTTGGTGTGTTTCTTGTGTTTTAAATCCTCACTCAAGGATATCTTTCCATTGATTTTTAGAGAGAATGGAAGAGAGAAGGAAAGACAAGAGAGTTGTTATAGATATATACTAAAATAATAATAATAATAATAATAATAATTTGAAAACAGGGACTTAGATTTACACTAATGTACATATTAGCATTATTCATAATAGAAACCCAAGTATCCATCTGCAGATGAATGGATAACAAAATCTGGTTGGTGTTCACACAAGAATTATTATTCAACCATAAAAGGAATGATATTCTGATACATGGCACAAATAGATGAGCTTTGAAAACATGTTAAGTGAAATAAGCCAGACACAAAAGGACATATACTGTATGGTTCCACTTATATAACTAGAATAGGTAAATTCAGAAACAGGAAGTAGAACAGAGGTTACCAGGAGCTTAGGGAAGGGAGATTGGGAAGGTACTGCTTAATGGGTACATCAAGTTTCCGTTTGTGCTGATGAAAAAGTTCTGGAAATGAATAGCAGTGATGGTTACACAAATGTACTTAATGTCACTGATTTGTACACTCAGAAATGGTGCAGGTGGTAAACTTTATGTTCTGTGTATTTTACCACAATAAAAACAAAACAAATCATAGAAGTTCTTTCCAAATAACAGATAGGTATGATTCCTATTACCACACTCAACTACATGTCTCAGCAAATTAAGTGCAGGACAATATTCATAAAGGACTACCAAGGAATTTAAATTATGAGAAGCCACATCAAAACTTGATCTTCGTAATGGTAATCTGTAATGCTGAATGCTACTTGTACAGCAATTTCTTTGTGCCTTAAAAACATGGTCTTTATTATAAACCAAATGAGAAAAAAAATAAAGGGAAAAATCATAATGTAGCAACAAGTTTGGGGTCAATCAAGAATGGAGGTTGACATCATTTAGGAGCTGCGAGCTACCATGAAACTTTTTGACATTCGCCCACTGATGGATCCTTCTAAATTGCTCAAGCTGATCCTGTCTGTACTGATTATTTTACCCTCCATCCTATTCTGCCGCAGAACTCTTAACCCGGAGCACTGAGTTGGAGGTGCGAGACAAACTATTAGAACCGGTAGATGCAACTTTGGCTTCACTTAGTCTACTCAGCAGGTAGTCACGGCCTCGAAGATCGCGGGAGCCATCCGGCACATCTTTTCGGGCCCCACGCCAGACCCTCCATTCGCCGTGGACCTGGGCATCCCGCCAGGAACTGACCACCTCCGAGCTGCCTCCAGCAGTGCCCGGGCGGAAAGACTGGGCCTCCGCAATGGCCAAAGCCCCAGGCCCCAGCTCAGGAGGCCGGTCTCACCGAGCCTGCCTTTGCCCCGCCCGTGCCCCGACGCGACCCTCACTTGTGCGTTTGCTGGTACAGCGGTTCCATGTCGCCGGCCCAGCCGGGTCCGGCTGCGGCTTCCTCCGAACACGTCTTCACAGCCCTCCTTCCGGCTTTCGGCTTCCGGTCTTAGGACCCTCTCTCCTCGCTACCGGCTAGGGCTGCCCCCCCAATACGCCTTACTGGTGGTGATTATGAGAGTAGGAAGGGAAACGAGGAAATAGGCCAGGAGAAGAAGAATAACTGTCGTTAAAAGTGCGGCCTCAGGTGCAGGACTAGGAGGTATAGGTTTTGGCGGAGGCTGTCTTCACCATTGAGTCAGGCAGTGGCGAGGGCAGCCTCAGAATTCTGACGTGAGGTCCTCAGAGCCAGGTTGGCGGCGAAGGGGCGGTTACCTGCTCTTCCTCGCTGCTGTCTGGCTGGGCTTCGCGTTAAACTGCTTGATTGTGCGTCTGCAGATGCGTTCTCCCCTGGAGAATCTGGCACAGGCTTCTCCTATCTCAAATCTGTGTGCTCACTTGCCCACGCACCTACCCCCACCCCCTCCACGCGTACACTGTTTAGTCATTCAATAAATCCACATTGAATGCATGTTTCCTATGTGTTAATGTGTGCTGTGGGAGAAGCTAGGTTCCGCCTGCCCTCAAAGAGGTCGAAATCTAGGAAAGAAAATAAGATATGTATACGAATAAACGTCTACAAAGTAGAAAGTCCAAATGTTCTGAGCCGAGCGTGGCAACACCAACAGCGCCGGTAGGAGATTCAGGGAAGACAATGTAGGAGGTGGCGTTTGAATTCGGACTTGAAGGATCTGGACACTTTGGCCTCGCCACAAACGCCTAACCCGTTTCCATCCCCATTAGGCTTATCTGCGGTTCCTCCCAAGGGAGGAGACGTTCCTCTTCCTTTGAGAAGTTGATGCTACTATTTTCCTGTATCCTGGATCCCACCCAGTTTTGTGTCTCAGGAGACTGTCTATCGTGTGCATTCTTTCCCTAACGTTATTTTTCCATTCTAGTATTTATTAATGAGTACCTACTATTACAAGGCACAGATGTTAGGGGTAGGAATACAAGAAAAACAGCCCTCACATCTCTCACCTCTCATTGTTGGGAGGACTATTCACGCCCTCAAGTTATATTATCAAGTATCATAGAATACTAGTAAATGCTACAACTGATAGAAAGAACCATTTCTCTGGAGAAGAGCAAGTGTACATGGACTTTTAAAAATCGTGAGTAGGGCTCAGCCGGCAGTGACAGATCTCAATGGTTGAGATCGACCTAAGAACCAGGAGGTCACAGTTTTGTGTGTGTGTGTGGTTTTTAAAAAAATATATATTTTATTGATTTTGTACAGAGAAGAAGGGAGAGAGTTAGAGTTAGAAACATCGATGAGAGAGAGTCATCGATCAGCTGCCTCTTGCACACCCCCTACTGGGGATATGCCCACAACCAAGGTACATGCCCTTGACCGGAATCGAACCCGGGACCCTTCAATCCCCAAGCTGACGCTCTATCCATTGAGCCAAACCGGTCTCGGCAAGGAGGCCACAGTTTGATTCCTGGTCAGGGCACATGCCTGGGTTGCAGGCTCAATCCCCAGTGTAGGGTGTGAAGGAGGCAGCCTATCAATGATTCTCTCTTATCAAGGATGTTTCTATCCCTCCCTCCCTCTTTCTTCCTCTCTGTAATCAAAAAAAATATGTTTTGAAGAAAAAAAAAAAACATGAGTAGGACCTTCAAGAATCAATAGAATTTTTTTTTTATAAAATATATTTTATTGATTTTTTTTCACAGAGAGGAAGAGAGAGGGATAGAGAGTTAGAAACATCGATGAGAGAGAATCATCAATCAGCTGCCTCTTGCACACCCCCCACTGGGGATGTGCCCGCAACCAAGATACATGCCCTTGCCCGGAATCGAACCCGGGACCTTTCAGTCCGCAGGCCGACGCTCTATCCACTGAGCCAAACCGGTCCCGGCAGAATCAATAGAATTTTAAGTGTCTTGCACACATTACCACTCTGTATGTTTATTGTTTTGGCCTGGTGGTGATTAAGGGGAGGGCATTGAGCACAGGCAAATGGGGAAAAGAACATAGATCTTCTGTGGCTGGGTTTAGGGTGTTTGGGGCAATAACAGAATTAGAAGAAAAGTTGGAGATGGATCATAGGGGATCTTAAATGTTATGCTTAGGTTTTTATAGAGTTTTATTCTATAGATAGTTGGAAGCAATCAGAGGTTGGATAGAAATTTTAAATGTTCTCAAAGAATGTTTATCCCTATACCTTGTTCTTCTTTGGAGTTTACCATATCCCTGTGATGTAGTCTGCTTCTCAGTCTGTTAGGCCTGAAATATGGTAAAGCCCATAGTCAGCCTGCTTGTTCCCAGTATGGTCTGATAAACTGGGAATACATCCCTCTGAAGAGTCTTTTGGGTCTGTCCAATTTGATGAAACAATTTGGATCTCTGAAACTACATTCATCTGTGTCTCTCTGGCCATAGCGTGCAAATTCAATGGACTAGGAGAATCCAAGATGGCTGCACAGGTAAATACCTAGCCGCAGCCGCACACAACAATTTCAATAAAATACAACTAAAATATAAAATGGACATTACCCAGAACTACAGGAAAGTCGACTGACTGGAAATTCTACAACGAGAAGCAAGGAGAAGACCAAAAGGAAGGGCGGAGGAGCTGTAAAAGCCTAAGGTATGGAGACACGCGGCGTGCGTGGAGAGGATGGAGCTGGAGAGGAGGGGCAACTGAGTGCCTGGCTGGCATTCCCTAGCAGGAAGGAGATAAAAGCTCCGACTGTGCTGGGCCCCAGTTCCGACTGCTCTGAACCCCAGTTCTAGGCCAGACCCCAGGGACCCAGGCTCATCCATAGGGAGCTGGGCTGTAAGGCGGAACCCCGGGGGAGTGGCGAAAGGAGGTCCCGGCGTCAAGCACATTGTGCGCAGAGAAGGGATGGTTGGCTGTGCCGTAGGATTGCCTGGCGGGAAGGAGACAGGGGCTCCAGACTGCTCTGAACGCCACCTCCAATCCCACTTCCAACTGAACTGAGCCCCAGTTCCGGGCTCATTGGGGGAGAGCCTAGACTGTTTGGTAGCAGGTGAAAATCGAGGGCACCTTTCTCTCAGAGGCACTTGCAGCGAGTACTGAAGGACCCTGAGACTCAGGAGCCACATAGGGCGGGGTTGACGGAAGCCAAGGCTGTAGGCTCCACCCTGAAACCCCGCCCCATTAGGGAAGCTGCGAAAATGCGACAATGGAATAGACCACAAACGAAAGAAATGGAGGACAAAAAGCGACTGGATATAGAGTTCACATCTATGCTTATAAGGTTTTTCAAGAATTTCCTAGAAAAGGTCGATAAGACCTATGAGGATATGAAAAGGGATCAACTAGAATTAATAAGGAATCAACAAGAAATGATAAGGGATCAACAAGAAATAAAGAATACATTGTCTGAAATAAAAAAATATTATACAGAGTCCTAAAAACAGAATGGAAGATTGCAAGAATCAATAAGACAAGAGAATCCAGAAAATTGAAGATAATGTTAGAAACCTCTGGGACAACTTCAAGCAAACCAATATCAGAATTAGGGGTCCCAGAAGATGAGAGAGAGCAAGATATTGAAAACATACTGAAAGAAATAGTGACAGAAAACTTCCCTCACCTGGTGAAAGAATTAGACTTACAAGTCCAGGAAGCGCACAGAACCCCAAACAAAAGGAATCCAAAGAGGACCACACCAAGACAAATCATAATTAAAATCCCAAGAGCAAAAGACAAAGAGAGAATATTAAAAGCAGCAAGAGCAAAGCAGGTAGTTACCTATAAAGGAGCACCTATACAATTGTCAGCTGATTTCTCAACAGAAACCATGCAGGCCAGATGGGAATAGCAAGAAATATTCAAGGTGATGAATATTAAAAACCTACAGCCAAAGATAACCTACCCAGCAAAGCTATCACTCAGAATCGAAGGCCAGATAAAGAGTTTCACTAATAAAAAAAAGCTAAAGGAGTTCATCACCACCAAACCAGAATTATATGAATTGCTGAAGGGGGTTCTTTCGGAAGAGAAAGTAAATAAAGAGAAAAATTATGAACAACAAATACGTAACTATCAACAAATGAATCTAAAAACCAAGGAAATTAAAAAAAATCTGATGAACAATATTAACTGGTGAATACAATAGAATCAGAGGTATGGAAGGGGAGTGAACTGACAATTCTTGGGGAAAAGGGGAGAGGGGGATGTGGGAAGAGACTGAACATAAACTGTGCACCTATGGATGCGGACAATGGGGGGTGGGGAAAGGGCAGAGGGTGGGATGGGAACCTGGTGAAGGAGAGTAATGGAGGGGGGTGGGGAAGGAACATTTGTAATAATATGAACAATAAAAATTTATTTTTAAAAAAATTCAACAGACTAATTCTCTTAAACCGTCTACCAACCCATCAATGTTCCCTGTACTTCCCCAGCCCTGGCTCCATCCCCTCTCACATATCTTCTGTTCCTGTTTCCTCCTGACTAACCCCCCTTTGCCCCTATTGTCTATGCCACCTGTGCCAATGCTCAGGCACCACCTCGAACAATTGGTGCCAGCTTCAAATAATCTCACTTCCTCTACTAAACCGTGAGAGCCTATTGAACAGTCCTCATCGTTCCTCAACCACTCCCTTCCCTTTCCAATCCTCCTCCCCAAGATCTTGTTGCCCCAAGATCTTTCTAACAGAGATTTGATGTCATATACACGTCAAGACTTTTAATAGCTCCCTGATGCCTAAGAAACACACTTGGCAGCCCTCCTTACTGGCCACATCCCTGGCCATTTCCCCTGTCCTAACTAGAGGAATTCTTATAAGCGCCTCTGTGTCTTCTGGCCTTTGCATGCACTGTTCCCTGTGCTTCAAGCACGCTCTCCTCTGCCTCAAGCCTGATTAACCCCCACTTTCTGGAGTCTCAGCTTTGGTCTCAGCTCCCTTGGGATGCACCCCTGACATCCAGGCAGGATTGAAATTCCTCCCCC